AAGATAGATAAAGGAAGGGTGAATAAATTTCTTAAATTTGCAAATGATATTAAGGTATTTGGTGTTGCTATCTGTTAAGAAGATGCTGCTACTTTACAAAAGGATTTAGATCCTTTAACGAGTTAGGTGAATAAATGGCAGATAGGTTTTATGCTGTATTTACAGTAAGGTAATGAACCCAAGACTGAACATAAGACTCCAAATGTAGCCTAATCAATAACCTATACAATGCAATTACAACCTCTTTAGACTTGTATTGGGTTTTAATTATAATAAATGCAAGATAATGCATGTGAGTTATAATGGTTTGAATTATAAGTATAATTTGGATTGGAATAACCTTAACAGTGTCATGAAAGAAAGGGATCTTGGTGTAATAACTGATCAGTCTCTTAAGCCATCCAAACAGTGTGATGTTGCTAGTGGTAGAGCTAATAGGATTTTAGGTTGTAGTTACAGAAATATTTAATACAAGTCTAAAGAGTCCTTATCTAGAATGGTACTTGGGATGGAGGGATTGTCATACGAGGAGAGGTTGAAATCTCTGAAATTGATTTCTCTTGAAAAAAGAAGAGTTGGGAGATCTGATTGAGGTGTTTAAGATTGTAAAGGGAATTGATAGTGTTGATGCATAATCTTTTTTCACACTTAACAGCGAGAATAGTAGGACTAGGGGACACAAATATAAATTCTGGCAAGGTAGGAGTCATCTTCAGCTAAGACAGTTTTATTTTTCTAACAAGGTGGTTGGCCTATGGAATGGGTTATCTTCGGATGTTGAGGAAGCAGTAAATTTAAGTGATTTTAAGAGAAAGCTTGATAAGTATGTGAATGATAAGGGCTGGTTTTAAGATTTTTTAAAATTTATTTATTAATAGTTTTAGTTTAGTTTAGAAGATGGAACAGCCAAGATGGACCAGTAGGTCCCATGTTGTTCCAAAACGTTACGTTATGTTATAATTCATATACATCTCTGATGGAGTCGAGGGAGAATTAATTTTAGGCCGCCCTATATAGAATAATCTAGAATATAGAGTAATCTAACTAGAATAATCAGGTCCTATGGATTATTAGCTTGTTTCTTGTCCTGTTTTGTCTTACATGTATTTTTTAAGATAAATGTAAAAGATGTTGAAATGTTTGATAGCTGACATATTCAGTATTTCATATGTAGACAAGATCCAGTTCTTAAGTAATTTTAAAACCTACTGATAACGTGAAAATAAAATACAAAGTCAGCAAAAAACGACCAGAAGTTTCAAGTAACTCGTTACAACAAAACTATTAATAGAATAGTATGACCGAAACCTTGTTGTATCAGCCTATACCACTGGAAGACTCTTTATAAATGTTTGTTTTAGGAATGATGAACTGTCACACAGTATTATTTTTTTTCAATCTTGAAGAGAATTAACGCTATTGAAGTTTTGAAATGTATTCCTTATGACAAATTGTTACAACACCATTAATAGTTAACCTAACTTATCTAAAGTAAAACCATTATAATTTATCGAGATAAAATGTTATCATCATTAAATACTTATAAAGTGTTACGTTGTTTAATGACTGGGGTTATGTTTCTAGTATCATATAGAAAAGGTTTATAACTGTTTCTACACTATATGGAATGAAAAAATATATATAATATAGCCATAAAAAAAAGAGACGAAACACCAGGCCCCCCAGTAGCACAGCGGTATGTCTGCAGGCTTATAACGCTAGAATCCTGATTTCGATACTCGTGGTGGGCAGAGCACAGATAGCCCACTCTGTAGCTTTGTGCTTAATTACAAACAACAACGAAACACTAGATTAAGCTGTAAGTTGGTTATTACTTTTAACATAAAATAAAGTACAATATGCAAGCATTATTGAGCACCAAATCGGGAAGGATTTAAAATAAACTAAACATCATCCTATTAATTTTAAAGCCCATTTACAGAGAAAAAAAATATACAATAATTATATATAAAATATATATTTAGAGAAACCAACTTTAAGTTCTTGGATTCTATCTAAACCTGCCCCAAAGTAAGCTGAATTACGTAGAAAGTTACTTGTTCTCGAAAAACGCAAATATTTTTTAAAATGTTTTGAAAAAAATGAAGGGATTTACATAAACCTCATAACTCGATTTTAACATGTTTAGAAAATTCTTATGGAATTAACCAAAAAATACTTTCTCAAAATAGTTTGTTATAATTGAAAAAAACAACAACTCTATATCGCAAGCATAGTAATTATATCATATAGCTAAAATGTTCGATTGTGTATTTTATATAGGAAGGGCATAGAATAATCAGTTATTATTATTCTTTGACATGGAAGATACACCGTTAGGATCCCTCATCTATATGACCTATATTACTAACCTTAAGACCTATAACGTCATAGACCTTTAATGAGAAAAATGATCAAGTTAACGACAACCACAAAGATTAGGCATGAATAATCATAAATGGAAAGCTGATTATATAGTTAACGGGGGGGGGGGGGGTAGTAAAGCACAAAACTCCGGATTTTAACAATGTGAGTCCTTAGATTTACCGCTGTCCTACCAGTGGATAAAGGTTTAAAATAAACAGTTGGTTTATTAAGAACAAGTTTAGTTTAAGAATAGATAAAATTACTGTTTTTTCTGTTATTTTTTAAACAAAAGTTTGAACTGTTCGCACGTAAGTTTGTGTTTTCTATAATGACTTTTTTGTTATACTGGACTAAAATAATGATTTGACGTTCTCCGAGTAGGATTCCCTCCCGCTTCTAAGAAATGCTGATGAGTTGTTCATGCCCAAAAAACGAATGAAAAATATGTTAAGATATTTCAATAAGAAAACCACCAGGCGTAAAATCCGGCCTGTTTAGCTTAGCCATCAATCTTAGACGTTGAAAATAAAGGTTTATAATTTTAATTGGAATATATCTTTTCAGCATACTTCTTCTTAAAACATTAATTTCCTCTGTTTCCTTTCCTGTACTATGATAATGTTCATGTAATAACTTAAAAGCTATTAAGTTTTCTCATTTACCTAGCTTAAGTTAAAATTTGCTGTTCATACGCTTAACTTATGTAAAAAAAAACGTAGAGCCGATGTTTGATCTGAACAGAATTTGGCTTACTATTTTTGTTTGTGTTTGATAACAATTGTCGGGACCTATTAAACTATCCCATTGTTAATGTTCATACGGGTCTTAGGTCTAACATATTTTGTACGCTTATAATTCTAACACAAGAGCCTGGCATCATAGTTGAGTTTGATTTTATACTGCATATATCACAACACTTTTTTTATATAGCTGCACCGCAAATTCTAAAAAATGACCACGCGGAAATGACGTATGAATAGATTCTAGTTAATTTTTCAGATTGTAGAATACTGTCTGTATTTACTTTAAAATTTGATCATTACAATAGAACAGAAGAGAAATGTAAAAAAAACGAAATGATAAATTAAATGTCTTACCTTGTTTGCGTCATCTCGAGAATTTTTAAAAACATCCTGAGTTTCCAAAAAACCTGCACCCATGTTTGTGGCACCAGAATTCTTATACTCTACAGACTCTAAGTCACGTACCAGATGGCATTTGTTCTTTGGTTCTTTTATGTAGTCTAGGTGACGCTCTTAAGAAAGAAGTTACAAAACATTTTATGTATGCTCTGCGACATCTAATAGAAGTAATTTGTTTAAATCACAATGTTGAGAGAATGAAATACATTTTTACAGATTTATACAGAATAAATTAAGGAATTTTAATGTAATAACGTCAATATACAATTATTTCTCTACTTAATGCAACTTTAACGAAATTGTTTTTTTATTTAGACTCCAAGAGTAATTTATTATTATTAAAAGGAACAATAGCACAAACTGAAAAATTCTATAGTCGGTATCAGAAAACAATTGTAATTTTATATGAAAGCATATCAAGAACCATTAAAGTTAATTAATTTAATGTTCAACTTAGTAAGTAGTAATAACGCCTTGTAATTATCACACAAACGCTCTAAGTTATACGGTCTATAAATACGACATATCTTAGTTCTAGCTGCATTTGTTAATATGGATTAAAATTCCCAATTTTCGAATTTTGTAAAGTCCAGAAATAAGTTTTGCTAACAGTGAAAATTACTAATAAGTCTTCTTAGCTGGATATCCTATTTCATGATTAAAATAAAGCTTTGATTTTATAACAGGAAAAGTACCACTTTTGAAACCTACTAAACCAGAGATACGAGCATCACGTCATATTTTCAACTTTAAGAAACGGAGTCAGTAGTTTCGCCTAATGTTTCATGGGGTACTTTTGGTCAAAGTGGAATACATATATATTATATTAACCTTGAGAAACGGGGTCAGTAGTTTCGCCTTATGTTTCATGGGGTATTGTTGGTCAAAGTGGAATATATATATATATATATTAAATTTGAGAAACGGGGTCAGTAGTTTCGCCTTATGTTTCATGGGGTATTTTTGGTCAAAGTGGAATATATATATTTATTTTTAAAATAGACTTCATAAGAGTAATCTAGATTTTGTACATTCGGGATGTCTCACTTATAAACAATGGTAGCTCTGTTTTTAAAGTGATAAATACTATTAAAATGGAACATTACTTTACAGTACTTGACAGTCATTTTTAATACTAAAACATACTACACACACATCCTTGAATTTAAGAGATTGTACATCATAGGAGGGTCATTATTAAACATGAAAATTACTAAATAATGTTATACATAATTTACTTACTATGTTTTACCCCTCTACTCCTTTAAAAATGAATTGGTAACTCTACAAAACTGTCTTTACAGAAGCGTAGGCAATAAAAGCATAATTTCCTGTTATCGAAACAACACATTTTTAACAAGTCACTTGGTCAAGAGTAAATTATATCATTTCTGTATTTATTCTACCTGTTTGACACAATTTTGAAATACTTTCCTGATGACTTCTACACTCTTAGATCTCATCTTGAGTAAATCAGGGGTACCATAAAATACTAACGTATTGGGAACTCTTAGATCTCATCTTGAGTAAATCAGGGGTACCATAAAATACTAACGTATTGGGAACTCTTAGATCTCATCTTGAGTAAATCAGGGGTACGATAAAAATATTAACGTATTGGGAACTCTTAGATCTCATCTTGAGTAAATCAGGGGTACCATAAAATACTAACGTATTGGGAACTCTTAGATCTCATCTTGAGTAAATCAGGGGTACGATAAAATACTAACGTATTGGGAACTCTTAGATCTCATTTTGAGCAAATCAGGGGTACCATAAAATACTAACGTATTGGGAACTCTTAGATCTCATCTTGAGTAAATCAGGGGTACCATAAAATACTAACGTATTGGGAACTCTTAGATCTCATCTTGAGTAAATCAGGGGTACCATAAAATACTAACGTATTGGGAACTCTTAGATCTCATCTTGAGTAAATCAGGGGTACCATAAAATACTAACGTATTGGGATTGTCTTCTTTCTTGTGATACTTGAAGTCTAATTTCGAAAATTCCTTAAATATTTTTTTCTATAATCGTTATTACTTAACTCTCATCAGAGAGTTTTCAAAAATAATATATATAGTAACAATCATGTGGGAATTAATATTTTAACCTCTTGGAGGAATAAACCCCAAAATATTATTACTTTATAGCATATTTCAATTTCTTTATTTCTTTGCATTTTCACTTTAACAGTGTTTTCATTGTGTTAAAATCTATTATGATACATTTATTCCCTCAATATCCATAAAATAACTTGTATGTGAATTTTGACGCTTTTGCGCATCATAAAATTCGCGAATACGCAGGAAAATAATAAAATTACAGCTTCAACGTCGTCAGTAAGATCTTGATAATTGTCAGCTGGTTTAATTTATCCTTATGAGCTCTTGCATAACTCAAATATTTAATTTCATACACATACTTTATAAAATATATGTATAAATGTAATGGTGTTCTGGAAAGATTAAAAATTTAAAGGAGTGACTTCTCATGTGAAATATCTGTACACCAGTTCCATGCATGAATCTTTGACTTCTCAGTTCGTTCCACGATGAAATACGCATTTGATATTACGTCAAAAAAAAAAGAAAGAAATGGTACTGAAACAACCACTGGATTACAACGTTTTCTACAGTATCATTAAGCTAAAAGAGTATTAGTACATTCTTGACATTACACAAATGCTAATATGTTGTAGTATTCAAACTCTGCGTTGTTTCTAATTGTAAAAAGACGCTTTTCTTTGCTAGAAATATAACTGAAACACCCACCTTTGTGTCCATTATTAGTACATTTTATAATAAAAAATAATTATGCCCATTTTTTATATTCAATGATATAAAATGAGAAGAGGTCTGTTGTTGCGTTTTTGAAAAACTAAATCTTGAAGTTTGAACTTTCAGCTTAAAACGTATTTCTATTATATATTTACTGAAGTTTTTATGTTTTAAGTATAAGAAGGATATACATATGTTATAGATTTAACATGAAATAATAACATACTAGTATCACGTTTATAATCACTTAGTAATAATAGTAGTGATAGATGGTCAATATTAGAAGAAGAATAAGTTAACATTGGAAAATTATTTACAAATTCGCACCTAAATACAGCAGAATACATACGTTTCCCACTTTTGTGTTTGTATAAAGTATTTAATTCCATCCAGTTGTGACATTTATTTACATTATTGATAGTACCATATGTATTGGTGGAGGTTACCTAAAGTAAACGTCACGTATGGTTGTCCCTGTTTTGTTTTGTTTGTTTTTTTTTTGTTGTTGTTGTTTAGCATGCTATTAGAATTCGCTTATTGTTGAGATAGTGTACCTCTATCAACATGCTCCCGGTAGCCCAGCGGTAATTCTGAGAGCTTATATCTAAAAACATCGGGTTTCGATACTCGAGTTGGGCACAACACAGACAGGCTATTTGTGTAGCTTTATGCTTAACAACAAACAAACTCTGTCTATCAACATCAGTTACCTTAATCCTATCTCTAAGGCCGTGGTTGCTATTGTTCATTAATGCTTTTTTTCAACTATACTGTAGTTCATTGTTCCAACAACTGTTCTCAATCTTTCCTCGTATATAATAACAAAAGTTGAACGTTAGTTTTTTTTTATTTCACTATGTTGTTGATATTGATATTTCCTTTTACGTTGGCAAGTTATTAACATTAGTCTAAGTCAATTTTGTTTGGCCATTGCAAGCTATATTGGCTCTGGCGCTTCTAGCCTCCAGTTCTAGGCCATGCTTTTTCCTGTTTTTATTAAACAGTTTCTTGAGACAGTTGTCCACACGGATGCTTCAGCTTGGTAAAATGGAACTTACTCAAGATAAAAGCTGCTTGTTAGTTTGTGGAATATCTTGACACAAGTTGCTACTATTCTTGTGCCCTCCAGTGGCATATTGGTATGTTTGCGGATTTGCAACGCTAGAAACCGGGTTTCGATACCCGTGGTGGGCAGAGCACAGATAGCCCATCGTGTAGCTTTGTACATAAATTCAAACAAACAAACTATTCTTGTGGTTTTCATTCCACCAAATAATCAGATGAAGTGTCTGTATCTCTCACTGTACTCATTAGTAGACTCATAAAGTATCATGATGCCACTAAATTCTCTGTTGGTGTATTTCTCAGGCTCTGTTTGAATAGGCTCTCAACTTTCTCTTTGATTTGTGTTTCTTTTTCTCTGATGGGCATTTCAAAAGTAAAGATATCAGAATTCTGAATCTTATTACAATTTGACCGAAAACTTAGAAGTCAGTACTAATCATGTGCATAAATGGTCCTATGGGTAGTGCCACTCTAGACTACCTCTGACACATCATTAATCAGCTCAATTTTAATGAACAGCACTTTATCATTTGAGATTACTTTACCGACTATCACGTAGGGGGGAATGGCTATCAAAAACCAAGTGACGCTTTTCTTATGTTCGTTTTTTGAGTTGTTGTTGTGTATTAACTTAATTTTCAAGGAAACCAAGTTGATTTAGAAGCGACTCTTCACATAGGTTTTGTTTTCTCTTTGTAAGCCTGACTATTACGGCAATTTTGTGCTTATTTTGATTCTCCGTTAAATCTCTAGTTGGTTTTTCTTCTCGGTTTTGAGTTCTTACTTCAATTTCATGAATCCTTCATTGTGGATTTCAATTCCATTCTCCTTGAACTTTTCTGAGTTTAAGGAGTAGTCGAAACGCAGTTAATTTTGTATAATGTCAAGTTACTTACTATGTGCCTTTTTATCTTTAATATTTGTTAACATTTACTTTTCCATCCACCAATTTTTACTACCTCTTATTATATGCAGGAGTGGTTTACCCGTGTTCTAATCTTTCAAAATACGGAATACCACACTTATTTTACAATTCGTTGAAGTACAAACGATACCGGAACACATGAATCAAATTACTTTCATCATACATCTAGAAACCAGAGTTGAGTATTTATCACTCATTAAGTCAGCTTCTAACAAAAAACGAATATGTATTCTAGTCCCAATTCGTATTCTGCTAAGCAATTTCTCGTAGTACTGCTTAAGCCTTTATTTTCTTAGGGCTATCGTGAATTATAGTCTTAAGATAATTAATTATTGGAGTTTCCTTAATTATATTTTACTTTACAATATATTCCTTAATCGTATTCAGAGAACTGTAGACATATTCCCAGTTCTTTTCTCAAGAAATTACCATTACATCCATATTTCATTAACCGATAGTTTATTCAAAATTGATATGACCAGAGTGCTTTTGTATTAATCACATAAAAGAAGTTAACAAGACAAAGAGAAATAACACACACATTTGGCTTTATTTACTATCGAGTGGTGCACAAAAAACGGCCCGAGAGCCAGATATGGCCCGCTAATTGCCTTACTTCGGCCCTTAAGCATCTTAATATTATAAACAAAACAAACTTTCCACCTTAAAAGAAATCATTGTTCTGTCACTTATTAATAAACTAAAGACTGTCTTATTTCTCAATACAACCTGTGTTAAAATGCCCCTAGTGTAAAAAATCAATAATAATTCCCTTGTAACGGCTTTCTTTTATTTACGTGTTCTTTTCGAATATTCGCTAAAAAATAAATACAACATTCGGATCACTTATTTTAATGTAAGTTATTTATTTCTTCGGTAACGTTCAATAGGCTACTTTCGCTAATAAACCTAACTCGAAAATAAAATTAAATATTTTCTAAATATAAGTATTCAGTTTTGCTTCACAGGTTTCAGCCCTTGGCCACTTGGCTTTTTTTTACATCTGGCACCCTCCAAAATATGGTTGTGCTCATTGCTATAACCGATTATGTTAAGTGTAGTTGCACTATTTAACATAGGTTTGTTTGTGACAAGCCTTTTCAACGTCGTCAATTAATAGCCGAATGATTTTAATCGCCAATCTTTGTTATTTTTCATCGCCAATCAGCGTTGACATTGCCATAACCGATTATGTTAAGTGTAGTTGCACTATTTAACATAGGTTTCTTTGTGACAAGCCTTTTCAACGTCGTCAATTAATAGCCGAATGATTTTAGTCGCCAATCTTTGTTATTTTTCATCGCCAATCAGCGTTGACAGCATATATTGTTCAATTTTTGCTTAGGTATTAATAGGATTGGGGTTTAAGAGTTAAGTTTTGTTTTGGGTAAATAAAAATATATTTTTTTACTGTTTTACCTCTTATGTAACAACTTCTACCAGAAGCGTTGCTAAGAACCTTGAATAAAAACTACAATTAATAATAATTAGTTTTAATTAAGAGTGAGAGACAAACCTCGATGTCGAAATAGGATTGATAATAATCCTCAATTTAGTTTCGATAAAGATGATGAAACGTTTTCCGATAAAGCAATAAATAGCTGAGTGCTGATATTTTAGCAATAACTGTGGTGGTTAAAATGAGTGAAATCGTTTTAGTCATTTCTATAACATTTCAAGATTTACAAACTACAGCGATATAAGCCATGGTTACACATATATCTGTTAACATTTTTGGTTTATTCACAATAATGCTGCAAGGCTTGGTTGCAAATAATCAACAACATCTTTAACTTTATCTGTTACAATCATTTATGCGATATAAGCCATGGTTACACATATATCTGTTAACATTTTTGGTTTATTCACAATGATGTTGCAAGGCTTGGTTGCAAATAATCAACAACATCTTTAACTTTATCTGTTACAATCATTTATGCATCCGTAACATCCGTTGAATTTGTAATCGTTTTATTTTATTTATCGTCTTGTAAACTTTCTTATAAGATCAATATATATCTTTAGTTATTTAAATAAATATCATATAATAACAAGTTGCAGATAATTTATATTTGACTTCATGTGTAAATTGCTAGAATTTCTGCAGTCTTTACAACAACAATAACAGATTTCTAGCCTGCAAGGGGATACAATATCAACGCCACTTTCAAAACTTAAGCCTTATTTTCTTTACTCCCACATTTTTATTGTTTACCTAATTAAAACACTCCCCCAAATTTTTTGGCATTACAAATGCTTCATGCATACTTACTTTTATTCCTTATAGTCTTACCTGCAGTGTTACTGTAGCTAATAATGGCAAGTCTACTTGCATTGACATCAATCACGATATGTGTTAGAAAACTTTCCACAAAACCTTTCTCTATCTCGAAGTTCGCAGCACCTACACTTCCCGATCTGTCTAGAAGGAACACAATATCAGAATTTCTTTGAATGAATGCTTTTCCTGCCACTTTATCCAGTCTTTGATTCTGTATATTTTGACCATTGGGTTGATCTCTAGCCTCTGCCACCAGAATAAAATAAATCTTAAGGGTAAACCAAATTCTTCCTAAACGCGTTTTGGCTGCCATGGCGATTAACTGTGTAAGAATAACCAATCTTACTGTAGGCAGTTATATTTAAAAAAGTACACGTAGTAATGTAAACAAGTATGATGATGAGACACTCAGTAAATGACAGTGAAACTTATCAGTTGAACTATCAATGACACGTGTGACGAAACTATCACAAATCTGTCTGGTAAATTATCTTTAACCGGAATCAGTAAGTTTCAGAAATAAGTTTATACCGTCAACTATTTTTCAGTCCAAACTTATTATGAAGAGATTATATTACATTGGTTTTCCCCATATTATGCATGCGAACTTCTGTAATACGATACAAGCTTGATCTATGGGTTACTCTAAATGAAAGAATGCTTATATGCAGAGTAAACAAGCTATATCTTGACGGATGTAGAAACGGAAGAAAACGATTTCTTCGAAAACAGGAACAAGAAACATGTTATCACTTATAAATACACAACTGTATATATGATATATATCAGAACTGTTTATACAGTATTTGCTTTTCCATCATTGCCATCTTCTAGCTTGTGAAAAAATTATGCCATTACATTCTAAATTAAAATAAAATACAATGTATTGCATCCCAAAAGTTTGTACTTCGTCGATACATGATCACTTGACTCTCATGGAAAAATGTCTTAGCATTGTTCATTAAGCTTGTTCTATCAAACAGTTAGCTAGTTTGTTTTTCGAAAGTAATATTTTCAATAACCATTTTTTTTGTTAAGTGGTTTATTACTTAGCCTTCAAAAAATGTGTACAAATTGAAGATTTTTAAAGGTTTTTAGTTTGACTTAAAATTACTAGTTTCTTTATAACCCCCCCATCTTTAATTTGGCCGGCATTTAACTTTACGTGCCACAATGGTTGCATAATTAAACATATTATTCATAGACTAAACTCAGTTACCAACTAACGACTATTCTTTCGTATATGATGAAAAAGGATTAATCTTTTTAGCATTTTACCGGGAATATCTCTTCATTTTTGAATGTTTTATAAGATTTACAAAATATTATACACACAAAAATTAGCTAAATAAAAAAAATACATAAAATGCATACATGTTTAGGGAAAAATAGTATTTTCTCTAAGTAAATAAAATATATATATATATATATATATAAAAGGTGCCCGGCATGGCCAGGTGGATAAGGCGCTCGACTCACAATCTGATGGTCGCGGGTTGGAATCCGCATACCACCAAACATGCTCGC